CTCGGCGAGGCGCAGCTGCTGGCAAGCACCTCGGGGCTGAGACCGCCGTGAACCGACGAAAACGCCCGGGGAGGGGCTCCGCGTTCCTTAAGTGTTTCGCAGCTTGCCCCAGGTTTTCCTCATGTCTTCGATGGGAAACGGAAGTTTAACTTATGGAAACAAAGGGGCCTCGTTCCTTATTTAGGGTTCCTTAGGTCAACGCCCCGACTGTATAGCCCACGTTCCAGTCGGGCCTGTCCCTCTTACAGGTGGAATATTCCCAAATAGTCAAAAAATAGTCTGGGGACTATTTTTTGAATATTTGTTGACCATGTGGGTGTATGTTTGACTATTTTGTATCTTTCGTCCAAAATCCCCCTGTAGGGGGACATGCCCGACCTAAGCCTACGATCGCGATGCTCAGTGGCGAGTTTTGCCAGGACAGCAAAGTCGCTGTGGACGTGTGCACGTGCACGCGCATGGCCTGGCAGGACAGAGCAGCCACGTAGCATGCTACGCACAGTGTCCGAATGGAATTCTCGCGGACTAGGTTGAAAGGAAATGAATGGAGACCAGGGAGGACGAAGGAGGTGAGAAGCTACATATGATGATGCCGGGCCAGGATATATGATGGGTTATGTCAGGAGGCCTTCACGATTACCCCATCCTTGCCGCATTCTGGCCCTTCCTACCCACGCGGCAGGGGCCTCCGCGAACCGTTCACCCATGCCGCTCTCCTGATGACGGCTCTGATCAAAAAGCGCCCCCGGCTGTCAGGCGCCCTTCCGAGCTGCACCAGACCATCCGCGTGCCGCGGAGGCGCGCTCCCTCGCACATGGAGCTGGGGAGCTGCTTCGAAGGCCGCCAGGGGTACACAGCAGCTGGGCACAAACGAGTTACCCGACCCACATCTCATGGATGGGGACCCATCCGCACCTCCTCCTCCTCCTCCTCCTCCTCTTCCTCCTCCTACTCCCTTGCCCCTGAGTCAGCACGCCCAGAGCAAGCAGAAGCGGATCCAGAATGGGCAGCACCCGAGCCCCGCTAAAGGGCGAGGCCGACGTCTTATTTGAGCCATCGGCAGCTTAATTCCCGCTTCGCGGCCACTCGCCAGCGACCTCGAGAGGTCCACCTCGAAAAAAAAATAATATAAAAAAAAGAAATCGAGAGGTCCACTCGGGTCCAGCCTGCCCAACTTTGCCCACAACGCAGGTCCAAATCCTCCTCGGGGAGGGCACCGAGGGCGCTCGGGCGGGGGGGGGGAGGGGGGGGCGATGGCTGGGGGCGATGCCTCCTACAGCCGCGCGTTCGCTGGAGCACTTTGAACGCCAGAGCGCTCCAGGCCAGACTCCGCAGGAGAGCCCCTGATCGCGGCCATCGTGCGTCTGGCAGGATGCCCACGCGAGAAATCTTTCGACGTCCGCGGCGCTCGTGGGGCGGGGCCCTCGGTCCAGTGTGGTGTGGCAGAGCTTTGCGTTTTTCTCCAAAACGCCGACCACTGCGTCTCCGCCATGGTTAAAATCGACATGTTCTCAGCCAGCGCCCACGGCGAGGGTACCAGGATTGACAACATCAGTCCCAGGATGTGGCATGAGCTAGATGATCTGGCTCACGCCGCAGCTTGAGATCTTTGCATTCGCAGGTTTAGAGCTCGTTGTTTTTTGTCCAGGTTCTACACCCTTGGGCACATCCATCCAACAGGCCGCCGGATAGGGGGCGTGAGCAGGGGTGCCTCCCCCTCTCTTCTCCCAGTACTTCCCGCCCCTGCAGAGATCGCCGCGAGGCAAGCTGGAGAACATTCACCCTCTTCTGGGCGACCCCTGCGCGGGGCAGGAGGGCCCACGGCTTGCGAGCCACCGCAAAAGGGTACAATTTGAGGGCTTCCGTCCGCTTTCCAGGCGAGCTTCCGCCTCCTCCCCATCCTGGCGAGACAGAGCGGTCGATGGTCTGTCGATGTTGTGTTGCTTTTTGATTTCCATCCCCTCCCCCCCGCGGTGGTCTCACGCCGTGGCCTTGGTAGATGTCAGTCGGCCCTCCTCTCCCTGAGCTGGTGGCGCTCCTTCAGGCGAAGCAGAGGAGTGCCGGGGAAGCAAGTCAGCTGACGAGTTCCAGCTCTCGAGGGGCCTTCGTGGGATCAAGGTCACCCTGTGGAGGCCCCACAACAAAAGCTGAGTCGGGGCGGATCCTGGACCGCAAGCCGCTTCATTCGAGGCGTGCGGAAAGTTGCGTGCTTGAGTTGCAAAGCCGTCAGACTGAGTGTGTCGATTGCCGATGCTTTTGGAAGCGGGGGAGGCGAGGGAGGATGAGGAGGAGGCGCACTCTCAGGCGGTCTGCTGCACTCCTTGGCGAGCACGTTCTCGCAGAGGCAGCACCTCTGGATGCTCTTGATGCTGCTGCTGATTGACAGCAGCCGTTCATTCTTCGTGTGCGGATCCTCCTATCTGTGGAAGGACGGACCTCTCTTTCCCTGCACATGAATCTCCCCCTTTCCCTCTCCCTCGTCGTCCGCATCTCTCTCCCACTCATGCTGTGTCTGTACCACTTGATATTGTGCTGTCAGGCGCTGTGCCACCGAGTTCGGGAAGTGCGCAATTCGACTGGCAACAGGTCTGCATCCCGCCTCCAAGCTCACGTTCCAACCCGCATGCACATCTACGTCCGCGCCCTCGCTCACACCCACGTCCAAACCAGCGTTCAAGCTCCGTGGGGCGAGAACGGCCATGCCACCCCGCCGCCCGGAGCCAGCTCCTCAAAACGCAATCGAGGACCCCTGGGTGCAGGCACTGCGCGCGGAGCCTGCTCTGACGTGCAAGCCGAGTGCTGGCCCTGGCGCGCCTCACTCTGCAGCTGCGCAGGTGCGTCGGCCCGTGTGGGCACGGTCCGAAGCGCCTCTCGCCTGCCAGTGCGCATGTCTTTTTCTGTTCCGTCGTCAGTCGGGCCGCGATTCCTGGGCTGACCCCGCGCGACTTCGGGGGCCTTTGCGGCGCTCTCAGTTGGCCCAGGCGCCGTCGTCGAGTTGCGTCGTCCGTTTCGCCGGTGCGCGCGTCCGGGGCATACGTTTTGGGACTTTGGCCGCAGTGCAGCCCGGTGCAGGCACGAGCCATAGAAACGCCACGGCCTTCTGCCACAGGAGCTCCCCATGCCCTCCTCTGTCATTCCCTCCACCCGCGCGCACTGTCTGTCCTCCTCCACTTCTACTTCTCCTCCTCCACTTCCCGTCCTGCCCGCTCCTCCCTTTCCTTCTGCATGCCTTTCCTTACCTCTGCCTTGCCCCCCTCCACACCTCCATCGCCCGACTTGCAGCGAGGTTTGGACTTTGGCCCACCGCAGTGGCGTCACAGTTGCGCCAGTCGTTTAGTTCGCGCATCGCCATAAGGAGTGGAGGTGCCATGTGGCACGGAAGTCCTGTGGGGCATCGTGCATTCCGGGCGGAATTCCCTGAGTCAGATTTGAGATCACCTGGTGCTAGTGATGCACCCCGTTTGCACGATTCCCCACGGTGGATCCCCGCTGGCCCTGCTGAGCAGGTGATCCGAGCTAGCATTAAGTCGGGCCTGTCCCTCTACAGGGGGAATATTCCAAAATAGTGAAAAATGTCTGGGTGGGGACTAGTTTTGAGTATTTTTGGGCATCTTTTGAGCATTTTTGGAGTATTTTTTATTTTTCGTCGGAAATCCCCCTTTAGGGAGACAGGCCCGACCTAAAGCTAGCACAGTTTGCGCAGGATGGGCGAGCCAAGGCTGCTCACGGGGGCTGCTGCCGTGGCAGCGATTTACTGGCGACGAGGTCCCAGGATGTGCCCGACGCGATTGCTGGGGTAGGGGTGCGTGCAAGACGCACGCATTCCCTGTCCAAAGAGGTTGCTCCAACAGGTCGATACCCACTTCATCACCTCCCCATGCGTCTCCCCAGTTCCCTTCAGCTTCTCCTCGATCCCTCCCCCCTCCACCTCCCACCTCAATCTCCCACTTCCTCCGCCTCCCCCCTGCACCCCCTCTCAAGCCCCATCTCCCCCCGCTCCCTCACCCGTTGTCCGTTTCGCTCACCTCCTCTCCTTGCCGCCGCCCGCCCCCCGTCCACACACTTTCACTGACGTGTGTCCAGGGGGGAAGCCATGGCGGGCAGGACCTCTTCAGCCTGCACGACGAGGCCTCCGTAGTCCGCGCCCGAGTTTCCGCAGATCTGGGCTTGACGGTTGATTGGTGAGGAGAGGAGGGCACGAAAAGGAGAATAGTGAGAAAGATGGCCTTCCGTCCGTGCTGCTTTACATCAGGCGCCCCCCCTCACCCCATCTCAACTTTTCCTCATCGGGAGGCGTCTCGCCACCCTTTCCCTTCTCACGTTTTTCCTAATGAACCCCTCCCCCCCGCCCAGCCGCGGCGAGGGGGAGCTGGAGAGGTGGCTGCATGGAGAACAACGATCGCCATCAGCAGCATCAGCAGTTAGAAGGAGGGCATGTGAGCAGGGGACGGGGGTGATGGGGAAGGGATGGGGCGGGAGCAGGGGAAGGGAACGACGCGGAGAATAGGGGCAAGAGGTGGGGAACGCAGCCAACCATGTCTGCAGCTCAGTCTCGAGCAAGGAGAGATTGAATTTCTGAGGGCTTGCCAATGTTTTCAGACCTTTTGTGGCGGGGGTTAGAGTGCAGTAATTATGCAGTTTCATGCGTCCTTGTGCTGGAAAGAAACACTGGCGACGAGATCAAAACTTAAGGCTCCTTGACGATGTCCACCGAGAGCGCATTTCTCATTGAGCCGGCCCCGATTGGCCTCGCAAGCCAACTTGTGGTACAGAAAGTTGATTGTTTGCCAGCGTTGACCCCGCACAGTAGGTTATTGCACTCGATGTGCAGCATTTGTGGTACAATCTGCGCATGGTGCACTCGTCGTGGGACACTCCATGTGATGCGAACTTTGTGTGAGGCAGTCGAAGCGCCAGGCAGCGCATCAGCGCACTGTGTCCTGCTGGAAGTTCTGATCTCCAAGGACATGGGTGCGACCAAGTCGCAGGACTGCGTGGCCAGCTTCGGACCAAGCCCGGCCGCGTGAGAGCACTTCCCCAGCGCCCCGCCCGGCAGCGTACCTGGCCGCCGGCCCCGGCGGCCATGCAGTGGCAGCAGCAGCTGGGCGGCGGGCTCCCCCAGGAAGCGGCCGCGCGGGGCCAGGATCGGGGGACGTCAGCTGACCACCACGCCGGTCCTGGCCGGGCCCATGCTGGGTCTACGATCGGTGCAGACGCCCTCCCAGCCTGGCCAGGGAGGCACAGACACCGATCCTGGGCCCACGATCGGCACGGGCAGGAGCGGTGAGGTGGTCAGTTGCTGCCCCTCGGCAGGAGGCCAGCGGGCGCGCGGCTCTCACCACACCGTCGTTCGTGTGCACGGAGGCGCTCGGCCGATCGGTCGCGGAGCTCCCACTGGTGGCCAGGACTCTGGCCATGGAGTCGCACTGGCAGGTGCTCGGCCGCAAGCACCAGCGCGGCTTCTTTGAGAAGCTGCTCGGATCGAAGGATGGCGAGCGGTTCCTCGCGTGCGTGTCCCGATCGCACCTGCAGGTGGACGCGGGCAAGTGTCCTGGCTCCCTCGAGGTGACGAACCTCAGCATCAACCCCGTGATTGTGGCGGGCCTTCGCATAGATCAGGGCTGCTGCGCGGTGGCGAAGCCCGGGGACACGGTGGACTTCATCGCGGGCGGCCCTCCGGGCGAGGCAGAGGCGAGCGCCAGACCTGGCGAGCCCGTGGTGTACCTCCGCTTCCGAGTGGAGCAGGGCGCCGTGGCCGCTGCGGCAGGGGCGGCCGCCGGGCTGGAGGCACGCACCCGCCGCGGCTGCGAGGAGCCGGAGGAGGACGAGGCTCCCAGCGCCAGAGGCCCCTTCTGGCTCATGCTGAGCGGCACCGCTGTCCGCGAGGGCCTCGAGGCCCGCCGGCGGCGCGTCGAGGGCAGCGCAGAGGGCCTGACCGTGGGCCGCGCGCACCAGACCGCGGTCCATGCCGACGCGTTCACCGCAGAGGTTCAGAGCCCCGAATCATCAGGGGTAACTCGGGTCAGGGTTAACTCGGGTTCGTTTTTCGGGAATCCGAACCCGACTCACCCCGGACCCGAGTTACCCCGGATAATTCGGGCGTCCAGAGCCCCGAATCATCAGGGGTAACTCGGGTCAGGGGTAACTCGGGTTCCTTTTTCGGGAATCCAAACCCGAGTTATCCCGGACCCGAGTTACCCCGGATAACTCGGGCGCCAAAGAGGTGGTGCAGTACATCAGCCGGGACCACTTCCGCGTCGAGCGCTGCTCGGACACGGGCGAGTGGAGGCTGCGGGCTTTGACGGCCAACCCCATCTGGCACGTGCGCGCCGGGAAGCGCCTCCAGCTGACGAGGGAGGCGCCGCCGCTGAAGTTAGGAGGATGCCTGCGGCGGACCCGCCAGCCTGAGAGCGCAACAGCGCAGAAGGGAGGAGGCTGAGCGTCTGAATTGTATTCTGTCTGGGATCAATATCCTGTCTGAACTGGCTCGGGTCTTGAACGCCTCCCTCATTGTCCTCAGCCTCGCTCTCATCCTCTCTCCTTCCTCCTCCGCCATCCTCCATCTTGAAGGCGTGTGGGACGCTTCTTGGGAGTTTCTTGGGGACCTCTTGCAATGCAACCCTTGGAGCCCTGTTCGGAGTCTGGGCCGTCCAGGATCTCTGGGCCGTCTTGGCGCGATGGTTCTACCAAGCTCTCCCAAAGAGGCGCGGTTCAGCCATCTCGAAATTTGTTGGTTAACGTCCTGCAGCCCTCTTGGGCCGTCATAGGGGTCCTTGGGCAGGCTTGAGGCTGCCTGGGGACCTTCTCGAGGCCGTCCATAGCAGTCTCGAGGGCTTCTCACTTCTCTCTGAAGCTTTACCAAAGCGATCTGAAGGAAACGGGCTTGAAGCTCTTGCGTATGTTTGATTGTCTGTGGCCTTTCTGGGGCGTCGCCACAGACCTCGCTGGGCGTGTGTTCGTAGCGTCCTGGTGCGTCTCCGGGCCTCTGGGAGACATGATCTTGGATCAGTTGGTGGGTTGTCGAGCCGTCTTCGGTTGGCGTTGGGACATCTTGCCGCTGTCTGGGGGCACGTTCTCCAGCCGTAGTGGAGCGGTCTGGAGGTCAAGTATCAGGAGGGGAAAAAACACAGACACAATTCATCGTCGACTCCCCAGAAAATATAGGAAAATATGGGAAGTGGGGGGGAAGACAAAACCCAGAAAATATGGACATATATGGGGAATCCTGTTAGTGGTGTGTATTTATTTGTGTGTCCTGGAGCCCCTTCAAAGAAGGACGCCGTGGCGGTCTTGGGAAGTTGCAGAGACGATGCCAGACATGCAGCAGGCATCCTATAGCACTCGACGCCGTGCAGGCACGGTGGCGGATCCTGCGGGGACTCCGTGCTGCTGTTCACAGGGGCGAGCGACAAGACCCCCGACGGGCCGGGCAATCTGGGCAGTCTGCGGTGGATCTTCCGGGCCGCTGCCGAGCAGGCTGCTTCCCCTGCGCTTCCCTCTGCTGCCGGTGCGTGACGTCGGCCGCCGATCACTGGAATTAGGTCGGGCCTGTGCCTCAACAGGGGGCATATTCAAAAATAGTCGAAAAATAGTCTGGGGACGATTTTTTGGCTATGTTTGCCCATTGGGGGGGCATATTTTGCGTATTTTTTCTTCCGCCCAACATCTCCCTGTAGGGGGGACACGCCCGACTTAACACTGGAGACGTGTCGCGAGCTCGCGCCTGGCGCCTTTCGCGCACGCACGTGCCCCCCCCCCCCCCCCCCCCCGCCCCCCCCCGGTGCGCATCGGGGCACCAGCCGCCCCCCCGCACCCCTCCTCCTCCTCCCCCTCCTCCTCCTCCTCCTCCTACGCCTCCTTCTCCTCCTCCTCCTCCTCCTCGTCCTCCTCCTCCACCTCCTCCACCTCTTCCTCCTCCTCTTCCTCCTCCTCCGCCTCCTCCTGCACCTCCTCCTCCTCAATATCCTCCTCCTCCTCCTCCTCCTCCTCCTCTCTTCCTTCCTCCTCCTCCTCCGCCTCCTCCTCCTCCTCCGCCTCCTCCTCCTCCTTCATATCCTCCTCCATATTCTCCTCCTCCTCCCCCTCCTCCTCCAAATCCTCCTCCATATCCTCCTCCTCCTCCTCCTCCTCCTCCTCCTCCTCCTCCTCCTCCTCCTCCTCCTCCTGTGCTGCCGGGGGGCAGCATTAGCGGCCCCCCCGAATTCGAGGGGTCGCCTCTCTGAGCCACAATGCGCTGAGGAGGCGCCCGCGGATCGCCATTCTTGGCCTCCTAGATTCACCACCCACCAAACCACCCCAACCCAACCCGAAGGCTCGGGTCGGGAAACATAGAAAAAACACGCGTGGAACCCTTTTACCCCCCCAACCCGAAATTGGGGTCTTCGGGTTGGGTTGGGGTGGTCTGGTAGGTAGTCATAGATGGGGTCGGAGTAGATGGTGTCGGAGGATCGCGCCGCATCGCCGATGCATCGGCGATGCACCAGCGGTGCGGCTCGATGCGGGGCCCGACGTCGCCGATGCATCGCCGACGTCGCCAGTGCTTGGCCGATGCATCGCTGATGCATCTGCGATGCATTACCGATGTATCGGCGATGAGGCGAGATCCTCCGACCCCATCCACTCTGACCCCATCTGGGAGACCTCTAGTCATGCTCCCGCGAAGTGCAAACGCACCTGCGTTGGGTTGTCCTATGTGCCCTCCCTGCGCCCCCATCTCCCTCCAACAACCCCCTTCCTTCTTCCGCTCCTCCCGGCATATGTGCCGTCCCTGCGTCCTGGCGCTTGTTTCTTTCTATGTGTCGGCTAATGCCCTCCTTGTGGTGATTCAATATCATCGCATCCTAGGATCCGTGCGACCAGGCCGATCGGGAAAATCAATGTGATCAATGCTGCGTTTCCGGAGCTCGGTGTCCGCCTTCCGTCATAAGCTTCCGCCAACGTTACCGTTACAGAATATGCGTTAGCCAGCGTGGGCACCGAACCGTGAGCGGAGGTGGAAGCTGTATCGTGAATTTGTGGCCTGCAAGTTTTGCGATGGGAGCTAACCCCAACCCCTGGATTGAAAGTCATCCCCCCCTTCACCTTTGAGAGTTGATTATCTCCGGCCAAGACAGAGCTGGTCGGGGGAGAGGGGCGGCGAGGCCGAACTTCATTATCGCTGGGAAAAGTGCGAATCGGCATTGCTATCTTCTTATTTTGAAGAGCAACATCCTGGCGAGGAGTGCCAAGGATCTGAAGAGTGCGGCAAGCTTTTGGCCTTTGACGAGGAAGATTGCGGGCGACCTCTAGGCCGCGCCCTCCCGAGGAACAAATCCTCGTCTACGTCGTCACGACGTCGTCTTTGTGAGAAGACGACGGCGATGACGACGACCTCTTCCTTCCGCGTCACACATTCTACGTACGATTCGCCGGGGCGAATCGTTTATTATCCCCCCCGGGGCCCTGAACTTTATCATCCACCGGGTGCTATTCCCAGGAGCATCTAATTATGCGGTGAAGGCTATGCTGTGCAAAGTATGTGTGAGCTAAGTTGTGCAATATGTATGTGTTACGTACGCTACGCGCTGTCAGCTATGGCGTGAACGCCAAGCGGCGTACGGCATGTGGTCCAATGTGTTGTGCCAGCTTTGTGTTGTGCACTATGTGTTGTGAGAAATGTTGTTTACGCTATGTGGTGTAAGGTATGCAATGTAATGTATGCGACGTGAGGTGTGTAGTGCGAGCTATGTCGTGTAAGTTCTGCGGTGGTAGTTGCTTGGTGTAAGGTATGTGGCTTACGCCATGCTGTCCAAACTATCGAATGGCCTTGGGCCCATCCCGCCAACGTGCCTGGGTTGTGGGTATGAAGCCTATTGGATGTTTGTTGGGATCTGGTGGGGGGCCTCTCGGGGGCCTCTTGGAGGCAGTTCTGAGGCCTCTTGGGGGCCGTTTTGGAGCCTCTTGGAGCCTCTTTTGGACATCTTGGGGCCTCTTCGGGGCCTCTTCGGGGCCTCTTGGGGCCACCTGCTCGCCTCTGGATGCCTCCTGGAGGCCTCTTGGGGCGGAAGGCTCGGATCTTGGGTTCGTGGCCGTGTTGGGGCCCTCTTGGGCCGTCTTGGGCCGTCTTGGGCGCCTCTTGGTGGGGCCCTCTTGGAGGCCTCTTGGGCCGTCTTGGGGCGATCTTGGTGCCTTCTTGGGCCGTCTTGGAGCCTCGGGAAGCCGAAAAGGCGAGACAGCCACAACTTTCAAAAGCCTAAGGACGATCAATAATTCGTGCCTCTTGGGAGGCCTCTTGGGGCGTCTTGGAGGCCTCTTGGGCCGTCCGGGGTCCATCTTGAGCGTCTTGGAGCGATCGTTCGGCGACCCGGGGCCCTCTTGGACCGTATTCGGGGCCTCCTGGGACCCTCTTGGCCCGTTTTGGGGCCCTCTTGGGCCCGAAAAAGTCTCGCGCCACCACTTCGCTAAGCCCAGGGGCCACGCGGGAAGCCCCAACAGATTTCGGAAATTTGGGACCAGGCCCGTTACATATTTCCCTGGACTGAGGACTGAGGCCCCATGGATTAGGCAAAGGACTTGAGGACACGCCCACTCTGTGCCCAGCGGCACGGTGGCTGATATTATGTGAGCGGTGTGGTGTACGCTTTGCGGCGTGTGCTAGGTGGCGTGTGTACGTTGTTTAACGAGTTTGCATCGCACAGTTCCGTTTCATCCCTGCTCCATAGTCTTTCTGGCTCATGGACTTGGCCCTGCGCAGCTTGCAGGCCGTTGCTCCGTGGGCCCCCCTCCTTTCAGTTGCACGCTGTCCCGACTGCCATTGCGTCGCGGATTGCCAGGTCAGCAGCGATATCGTGCACTTGCTGGGACGCCAGCTGGAGCGCTGCGGGCCAGAGCAGCTCAATTGCCCTGCGTGCCCGAGCTGTCCGCTGCTGCAGTGCCCCGAGCCGTCGCTCTCGCTGGGCACCTTCATTGTGGGGCTGCTCGTTGGTGTGCTGTCGGCAGCGACCGCTGGATTCTTGTGGAAGAGGGCCGCACGCGCGCCGAGACTAGGATTGGATGGCGGCCCGCACCCCAGCAGAACGCACGCTGCGCTGCCTGCAGAGTCTGCAGGTGGGGTCGAGGGCCCTCGCCTACTACGACCCGCGCGATGACTACTGGCACGAGAGGATCATGCTGGCGCACATTCAGGACTTCCGCTTCGTGGTGCTCACCGCGGACTGGGACATCTATGATGAAGACATGTCCCAGGCGCTTCGCCTGCTGCCTCTGGGTCCACGGGGCGGCCTTCCCGTGCCGAGGCCACAGGGGCACATCCTGCGGGTGGACAACGCCCGCCTCAGCGAAGAGCTGCAGCAGCTGTGCGACGAGGCGGCGCAGCTGGCCTTGGACATCCGCGAGGAGGAGGGCTTGCCGGCCCCAGCGGCGCCCCATGGGGTGCTTGCCGACGGCGAGGCGGGGGCGCTTGCCGAGGCGCCGGCTCCTGCGGCGCTGGCGGCTGCCGCGAGGCCCGCTGGGCCAGCGGTGGGTGGCGCGGCCGCTGCCGGCGCCCTGGCGGCGGCGCCGGCCGCGCCGCACAGGGCACCCGCGGCCGGGGCTCTCCTCGCCCCAGCCCCGCCGCGGCCCGCAGCGCCGCCAGCAGACGCGGTCTGGCTCGCGGCGGAGACGCGTGGGGGCTTCACGGCCGGGGCCCCTATCCCGCCGGAGCTCCTCGGCGCGGATGGCCAGCCGCAGGTCGTTCTGGGCGACCGCGGGGTCGTGGTGCTGGCGTCAGGCGTCTCACTGGCGGTCGCAGTGGCGGACACCCTGGAGGCAGGGACGGCAGCGCTCTCCAGCAGTGGGGGAGACCTTCGCACGCTGCCGGTGCTCTACTCACCAGCTGGTGGCCGCTCCAGGTCCTTCCACGACGCCGTGGCCAAGATGTCCACCACGCCCTTCCCAGACTGGCGCATCAAGGGGCCGAGGACCGCTGCCTGGCTGCTTGAGAAGATCTCGGAGGCGGGCTACACGCCGCTGCAGAGGCATTTCTGGTGGCGGTCGATCCAGGGGCTCACAGCTTCCGACTCGGGCGTGGACGACCACCACTTCATCTCCGAGGTGCTGCAGGAGCTCACCACCTACGACCAGCTCAACGCTGGCGAGCTGGTGGTGGTGGAGATCCTCTGCCGCCGCTACCAGCTCTGGGAGGAGCTTTACGCCTCGAGTCTGCGCGAAGCCGAGGCTGGCCAGGACGCTGCACCCTGGCTCGATGAGCGATCCATCTTCCTCGGGCAGGACAGGAGCCGCGGCTCAGCGCTTGTCTGCCCCGCCTTGGAGAGCTGGGTGGCGGAGAAGCTCCGAGAGGAAAGTGCCATCCTCAAGGAGCGCAGGAAGGGGCGAGAGGAAAGGCTGCTGGAGCGCGGCGTCGACGGCGGCGCGGCCTCTGGCGAACCATCGGCGGGTGCCAAGGCTAAGGCACGCGGCCGCGGGCGCGGCCGTGGCGCCTGAGGCGCCCCCTCGCGCCGGGGACGCCCCCGGCCTCGGCGCGAGTTTGCAGGGGAGGCGAGGCGTGCTGAACGATGCCACCTCGCTGGGTTTTGGCGATGACAGTCTCACGCAAAGGGACGCGCTGCCCATCCCGCTCAGCTTCGAGGCGCTCCAGTGCTTGAAGGGGTTCTCGGCCCTCGACGGCGAGCTTTCGCTGGGGCAGCGGCGCAAGGCCGCGCGCTGCAGGCGCCAGGAGCGCTGGATGCTGGAAGGCGTCTCGGCGCTCAACGAGCTGGGCGGGGGTGGTCGGTTGGCTGACAGCGGCGGGCGGCTTAGCTTGGCGC